AAGTGTTCAATTAGGGTTCACTCAGGTAAATCCCAGAACCCAGACCACGAGGCAGCCTCCTTTATTCGGGGCCCGGGTCTTCCTGCCTCTCTGAAGGCATTGGGGACGAGTAGGGTGCATTCAAAGTCTCAAGGCTCCTCTTGTTCAGCCCATGTTTCATGTTCAGGGCATCTACAAGCCCCCTGGGATCCCACAGTAGACAGAAGCAGCCTGGGTAGTTCTGGTAGAAAATGCTAGGGCTTATCAAAGGGCACCCATAGTGCTCTGGGGCTTTCAAAGAGGCAAGGATCACTTTTACTTTTGGCAATGGTGGGGTGGGGCTTGGTAGAAGGAGTGCCATTATGTTCACGTGTCATTTTGTAATCTTACTGTGTGCGTGTGCTTATGTGTGTATTATGAGGCTCAAATCTGTATTTGAAGCAAATAAGCTCCCTCTTAGCTATAACGGTCACCACACTTACCAAATCCTTTTCTTTTGAGACAAGCTCTCACACACATCAGACTGAGCTTGAACTTTAAGCACTAAAAAGTTTCACTTATTGGGAGAGAGAGAGAAAAAGAGGGGGAGTGAGAGAGAGAGAGAGAGAGCGAGCGAGCGCCTAGTGCCTGCGGAGAAGCAGCAAGATCCAGGCCCTGAATAAAGGAGATTGCCTTGTGGTCTGTGTTCCTGGGATTTACCTGAGTGAACCCTAACTGAACACACACACATACACACATGCACGTGTGCGCAGGAGGGCACATTAAGGTGTACCTGTAGAGGTCGGAGAACAGCGCACCTTTCTGTAAGTTCTGGGGATTGAACTCAGGTCATCAGGCTTGTTTAGCAAGTGCTTTACTCACTGAGCCATCTTGCAGGCCAATGGCACACTTTAAATTAAAAGATATCCATTTTATTTTTTTATGTGTATGAGTTTTGCTACTTCGTATGTCTGTGTATGCGTGTGCCTGGTACCTGAGGAGGTGAGAAGAGGACTTTGGGTTCCCTGGAGCTGGAGTTCTGTGGGTGCTGGCAATCAAACCGAGGTCCTTTGGAAGGGCAGCCAGTTCTCTTAACTGAGACATCTCTCAAGCCACGCCCATAAGTAAATACAAAGTATCACAGAAATGATTGGGAGGTTTCAGAGCTGCGGCCAAGCTAGTCTGTGCAACAGAGAAGCTGTTTGGCAGACAATAATGAAAGCAGTGGGCTTTAGAGACGCAGAGGAGGAAAAACACACAGCCTGATGTGGAACAAAGCTGTGTTCCAAGCCAGGTGTGGTGAAGCCTGTCTGAGCACTTGCAGAGGGGAGACAGAAGGTTCAGGATTTTATGGCCACGAGGAGTGAGGTGAGTTTGAAGTCAGTCAGAGCAACGCAGCATCACCCTATCAAAGCCTGGAAAAAGCCGAGACAGAGGAGTTTGTGTGACTTTGGGGTGCTGATAGCTAGGAATCAGGAGATGGGCGTGGCATCAGGACCTGGAGGACATGGAGATGTGGGAGTTAGGTAAAGCATGGTATCAAGTTGGGGCAGACAAGAAACAAAGGAGGCAGAGCAATTTCATCAAGAGCTTGTGTTTGGAGTTGGGTGCGACACACAAACACACTACATAAAATAAAATACAGAAAAGGTTTTTTTTGTTTTGTTTTTGTTTTTAAAGTCTTGGCTACAGCTCCATGAAAGGCAAGCTCAGTACTAGGGGAGGGATGAAAAAAAACCCCAGAGGACTAAAAAAGTCATGTTTGTGACAGAAACCCATTCAACCTGGTCCCGGCAGGAGAGGAGGCTGTTTGCTAATAGAACTGAATACTGAAGCAAGCCTGCACTCAGGGGGAGGCACAGTGCTCCCTCCCGGGACTTGCTTTTTGAGGATGGCTTTGTGTGGAACCCATTCTCAGGAGGAAGAGGCTGGCTGACAGCAGGGGCAGGATTACACCTGCCCTCAGCACCTCCATTCATCAACTGGACAGTTCTCACCGGGTTCCAGAACAGAACCCCCTGCGTCCCATGCCTGCTGTTGAACCAGCAGCAGGTCTTTCTGCCTTGCTGTGATTGGTCAAGCCTGGGTTGCACACCTAGTCCTACAGGGGGGAGCAGCTCCAGGCTTATCTACAGAGCCACATTAAAGCTGGAGTTGAGGCTGCTTCAGGAGAAAGGGACATGCTGTCACTAGCAGAGGGACAGGGAGTAGATGCTTGAGCCAGAACCACAGGTGAAGGAGAGTTGGAGACCCTATGACAGTTTTATGTCAACTTGACTGCTAATGTCCTCAGAGAAGAGGGAGCTTCGTTGAGAAAATGCCTCCATAGCACCGGGCTGCAGGTGAGCCTGGAGGGCATTTCTTTTCTTTTTATTTATTATTTATTTTACTATATGAGTGCTCTAGCTGCATGTACACCTGCGTGCCAGAAGAAGGCATCAGATCCCAGTATAGATAGTTGGGAGCTACCATGTGGTTGCTGGGAATTGCACTCCGGACCTCCGGAAGAGCAGACAGTGCTCTTAACCGCTGAGCCATCTCTCCAGCCCCTGGAGGGCATTTCTTAGTTAGTGTTTAATGAGGAAGCCCATGGTAGGTATGCCATCCCTGGGCTGGTGGGTCCTGGGAAAGCAGACCATGGGGAGCAAGCCAGTAAGCAATACTCCTCCATGGCCTTTCATCAGCTCCTGCCTCCAGGTTCCTGCCCTGTTTGAGTCCCTGTCCTGACTTCCTTTACTGATGGACTACAATGTGGAAATGTAAGCCGAATAAACCCTTCCCTCCCCAAGTCGCTTTTGGTCGTGGTGTTTCATCATAGCACTAGAAACACTACCAAAGACACAACTGCAGGCTGCAGTCCAGTAATTTAATAAAGCTGTAGCCAGGAGGACTGGGATGGGTAAAGAGGCAGGAGAGACTGGCATCTGGGCTTCCAGCAAGGGGTAGGTAGATTTGGGTCAAGGAGTAACCCCACTCCAACTTGGAGTGGTGGAAAAGCCAAGGGTGCCTTCTGACAAAAACTTGACCCAAGAGGCAGAGTGCTGAGTTAGTCCTTGTCCTCAGAATAAATGCAGGAAAGGTCAAACAGTTGGGTGACATCCCATCAAGATACAGCAGCCGGTGGAAAGGGCAGACATTGTCTGGAGACATTCATGGGACCGTGAGGCAGGATGAAAGAAAGGACATAGCCAACTGGCCTTGGGAATAGAGAAAACCAGCAGTTTTTCTCAGGCCAAAAAAAGAAATGGATTTTTTTTTTTTTTTTTTTTTTTGTGATAGTGAAAAGTTGAAAAGTTGGTCTGTGTGGAGAGTGTTCGAGTGTTAGAGAGTGGCAGAACACTTGCCTAGCGTTTGGTGGGCCCTAGTTTCTTCCTTGCACCAAAGAAAGGCAAGACAGCCAAAAATCCAACAGGGCAAGATTGCCCACGCAGGGTAATGCCCCCATGGTAGCTAGAGTGCCGCCTTGGTAAGAGGGGCTTCATTTAATAAGGAAAGATGTTTATAGTGCAGCTTTGAGAGAAGCAGACTGCAGGCTGGGAGGTGGTTTAGTTGACAAAGTGCCCGCCGTGCAAGTGTGAGGACTGGAGTTCTAATCTCTGGGGCCCACACAGAGCTGGATGCAGTAGCACACATCTGTCACCTCAGAGCTCAGCCTCCCAAGTGCTAAGATTGCTGACACACCCTCCTGATGCAATGCCATGCCCAATGAAGTGAAATTTTTTTTTTTTTTTTTTTTGAGATAGGGTATAATGTTAAGGATTTCAGGATAGGCTGAACTCTCTAAGCAATCAAGAATGCTTTATTTATTTTCCTGCCTCCATCTCCCAAGTGCTGGGATCACAGCCGTTCACCCTCATGCTTGGTTTATTAAAGTGTACTGACAATCACAACCAAGGCTTCATGCATGGTAGGCAAGCACTCTATTGATTGGGCTACATTTACAGCCCACAAAGAACATTATTAAGATAAGGCTTCCTCTGATAATGGGAAGCATTTGACGGTAGGATAGGATTTCTGTTCTGTAGCAGCTTGCACACCAACAGGGGAGACAGCTGATAAATGGGTGCCAAGTGGATAGGAAAGGTAGAAGGATTTGAGAGATCAGACCCAACCAAAGGGGCCAGGGAAGAGGAGTCAGGCAGAGTAAATGTGGGGCCTTTTGAGAGGGAGTCTCTGGCCCTAAACAAAACCCAGGGCAATATTCAACTCTCACGTCAGGTCGGACAGCGGTTTGGAGGCCTGCGGGTTCCAGCAAGCTGTGCAAAGCAACCCACTACCTCTCCTCTTTGAGAAGCAAAAAACAGGCAGGGTTTGGAGGTGCATATCTACAATCCCAGCTTTGGAGGTGGAAGCAGGAGGATCAGGAATTCAAGATCAACCTCTGTTACATAGTTATGTTTAAAGCCAGGCTGGGCTACATGAGACCCCGTCTCAAAAGTCTTGAAGAACAAAACAAAAGAAAAAAACAGCCTGCATATGGTGACTGCACTCAGGAAGCAGAGGCAAGCAGGGATCTCTTAGTACCGGGGCAGCCTGGGCTACTTAGCAAGTTCCAGTACAGCCACCGCTACCCAGAGAAACCCCGTCTCAAAAACACAAAATCAAATCAAAACAAACAAACAAACATAGCCCAGGCATGGTGGTGCATTTCTTGACTATCAGAACTCAGGAGGCAGAGGCAGAGGCAGGACGATCGCTGTGAGTTTTGGGACTGCCCGGTTTCCATAGCCAGCAAGGGCTACAAAATGCCACTGTCTCAAAAAAACAAACAAAAAGATATATTTACAGTGTTCACAAAGTTGCAAGGATCAAAAAAACTTAAGTTACAACACTGCACATTTCTGTTCATAGAATTTTATTACTAACAAATTCACTGTTAGGAGGTGCAGAAGACAACTTCTTTCTGCACGCAAGGAACGCAGCGTGCGCGTGCGCGACAGGGGGAGGAGCTGTCGTTCAACCCCACCCCTCCCGCGCCGTCTCACCCCCTTCTTTCTCTTTGTCCCTCCCACTTCCGCGGGCACCCAACCGTGCGTCCCCTGCGTGCTGACGTCAGGCGCGTGCCCCTGTCCGGCAGCCGAGGAGGCCCCGCGCACTGCTGCCAACGCCCCGGCGGAGAAGCTGAGGTGAGTGCGGGGCCCGAGTAGCCTCCCGCGGGAGTGTCTTCCGTGCTGCCCGGTCCCCGTCGCGCGCCCCCCGCCCTCCCTCGGCCTTCGAGGACGCTCGCGGTCGGGGCCATCCCGGTGGCTGCGGGCCGCGGGCCGCGAGGGAGGGATTGCCGGGTTCGCGTGCGCCCGCGGGCCCGGGTTCTGAGGGAGCGAGGCGGGGTCGCGGCCGGGCTGGGGGCCGGAATGGCGGCGAGGCGCGGCCGGGGATGGCGGCGGCGGAGGGCGCAGCCCGGCCGAGCTGTCAGCGGCGGCGGGAGGGCCGGGCACACCCATCCCGCTCGCTCCCCTCCCCCTCCGGCCTCCGTCTCCGGACGCGCCGGGGCGCAGGGTAGGGGACGTCTGGGCAGGACCGGGGTTGGAGGCCGGAGGCTGCCTGTCCCTCGTCGGCCTCGACTTCCTGCTTCCCGGGTCCCGCCGCGGCCGCCCTGCGGCTGGCGGGGGAGGGGAGCGGAACTGCGGCCGCAGGGCCGGGCCGGGGCCGAGGTGACGGACCGGGCGGCTCCGCGCCTGCGCCCCTCGGCGGTCCCCAGCCCCGCGCGGCGTCCTCTCCTGCCCCGCGGCTCCCGGGGCGCCCAGGACGGAGCCGGCCTCTTTCTTCCGGGACCTGCCTAAGCACCTCCCGAAACCTCTCCCGGCCACTTGCTCGGTTCCTCATTGCTAGCAGGAAAATTTCTTTGTTGGTTATTATTATTATTTTTTAATTCCTCTTTCCACCCCTTTAAGTCCGGGAGAAAGCCAGTGTAGAAGATTACGTCATCGCAGCATAAGGGGTGAGAGTTTTAACTCCTACAAGTCAGGGCTCACCAAATTAAGACAGTATTTTGCGGCCTTAGTGGGTCACTCCGCTCAGCACGTCGGTTTAGAGTAAGGTGGTGTTTTTTTTTTTTGTTGTTGTTGTTGAAATCCTGTTGCTGCTCTTCAGGTGCCTGAGATGTACCTAAAATATGGGACGTTTCAAAAATCTCAGTTTTAAGCTATTTTTGGTTAGGGAAAACATGCTGCTGTCTGCAGTCACTGATGTAGGCCTGAACTTTAAAGGCTCCCTTGCTATATTCGGTGAACTTGTGGGCAGTCCTTTGCCACACTGACTAATTGTGACTTACCTGATGTGAAGAACCCAAATCCAGTGTGTGGTTTGAAGAGTGTGCTGAAAAGAGAATTTAGTCATTTGCTTGATTTGTCTTTGTTAGAATTGCAACTTAAAGTTGCATGTTATAATTTTACCATTAAAACCGGCCTTTAGGTTTATTGTTATTATTTTTATTTTGAGACAGGGTCTCCGTATGTAGTCCTGGCTAGCCTTGAACTTAGAGGGACCTTCCTACCAGTCTACCTCCCAAGTGCTGGGATTACAGACATGAGCTGAATTAAATTACCAGCCTTGATTTTAATTTTTAACCCCAAAATCTTTAGTCCAAAACTTTTAGACTTCTTGAACTAGGATTGTGTGTCCATTAATTATGATAAACACTAGTGTTGAAGAATATTAATATTGCAAAGCAAATGAGATCCGGTTGTGTAATGCATCCTAGTAAGGGGGGCTCATGTTTGAACAGTACTTTTCTTGTTATTGCTCGTTTGTGTAGAAAACAGAATTGCTCGTGAAGAAACACTATAGAGTGGTGGATTCAAAGTGGCTTTCTGTAGTTTGTAGGCGTGCAGCTTGAATAGTGCAAAATACATTGTGAGGCTTAATATGACATCTAGGAATATAAAATTGGAGCACTTACCTACTACTGTATTTTTTTAGCCTGTATTTAAAAAGTTTATATGTGGGCCAATTTGTACTTATTTAAAAAGCTTATATGTGAACCAATTTGTATTTTTTTTCTTTATAATTAAATAGTCTGGGCTGGTGAGATGGTTTAGATAAAAGCAGGTGTCAGACAGGCCTGACTCTTTTAGTTGGATATCCCAGAACCCATGATGGAAGGAGAGATTCTGACTATCCAAAGTTGTTCCCTAGCCTGGCTTAGTGGTCCACAGCTTTAATACCAGTGCTGGGGAGGCAGGGGCAGGCAGATCTCTTGCGTTTAAGAGGCCAGGCTGGTCTACATAGAGTTTTAGGACAGCCGGGAGAGACCCTGTCTTGAAAGAACAAAACAGAAGCTGTCCTCTGATCTTCGTACTCTTGCTACCATGCATGTGTACGCACTTA